ATCTGTTAGTGTCTCACCTAATGAGACCCTTCACTTAACAGCTTCGCTGAGACAGACAGGGCATTTGATGCCTGTTTATATAAGGACTGCACTTAATAGTGGTAGAAAAACCGCTCAGCAGGTTTCTCCTATCAAGTTATTTCGCCATTGACAAAACTGTCAGCACCTAAAAATGGACTCGCTCTAACAGTGTTCACAAAATAACATGTTTATTAATACAAATTTGTGACAATTTATGGTGTTCGTTGTGTCTGGAATTAGGGTCTAACTGCAAAAAACACACATAAACTATGTAGTAATAATAATAATGCAAAGCATAGGCACACACGCTAAAGCAAAAGCAACTTATAAAGAAGTAGAACAACTAACACATATGTAATACCTCACAAATACTAATACCACAAAATTTAAGCAGAAACTCTAAAGCAAAAGCCACTTACAAACTTAAAGTAAAAACTAAAAATACTATGAAGCAAAAGTAAGGTCTAGTTATTTAGAAGCAAGTAATTAGCATGCCTAAAATACATCTCACCTTCCAGGCTTTCCCAGAAGTGGAAGGAGAAAGGCAGCCCGTCAGCTACCTCCGCAAAGTTGATGAACTTCTTGCTTGCCCGCGCCCCTTCCTCCCCCTCCCCCAAGCAAAAAGAGATTTGCTTGGGTCCAATCGTTTTTTATACCTTTTTCTTCAGTCAGTTTGATTGGCTATAGTCAATAAACTAATTTGGGGGTGATAGACAGATGAAATAGGCCCAAGGGTCAACTCTCTGAGTTCTCAGCAGCCAGGATGTTTGAAAAAGGGCCATATTATCTCCATATCACTCCTTTCTTCCTTTTAATCCTTTTATCAGTTTCTAGGAATGTCCCCCCAGGTGCTGGGGTTTTCCAGGAAACCATTACAAGATTTTTTTCTCCTTTCGTGTAGCCTTTCTGTCACCTTACATTACTGTCTTGGGCTGATCAGAGAATAGAGATTTAACTTCTTATTTGTTACCTGTTCATACATTGACCTCTGTAGATCATTTATAAATGGTGGGTCTGCCAATTACTTGCAAGAGGTTTGTTCCCTACATTTTATGTAATGCATTTTACTTGAATTTTGGTTATGGAACAAGTGAAAACAATCAAGTTCTAGTAATCACTTAATTGTTGTAAATTGTTCTTTCCAGGTGTCCTGTTGTCTGCTGTTATCCAAATGAACACATTAGACAAAGTCTTCTTCTTGGGTGGGGCTTTAGCCTTGAAACTGTAGCTTTTTGGTAGATGAGTTTGCACCTGTGTAGAAATCTGTGACTTCCTTTGAGATTTTTTGTATTCATGTACAAAGAAAGGCTCAGACAGAAACCACTTCCATGCAGCCATTATCAAGTTTGGTGGACCTCTGGCAGCTGAAGAGGCCTAAAGCTTTGGAACAAGTTAGGTCATAACGTCAGAATTCAAAAACTGCCAGAAATGTGACTGTGAAAATTTTAACTGTGAAGAAAACCCATTTATATAAACATCAGTATACCTTTCTACAATTAGTATCAACTTTAGTTAAGTGTCTTTGTATTCCAGCAGGTTCCATGAAGTTCTTGATCAATCTTGAAGAGTTTGTACTAATGGTTGTTATTAGAGGAACTTAAATTTTTGTGGGGAAAAAAACCCAACCCACAAATAAGTCCACAAAATGAGCTGTGGTCCCAATGAAAATATGCAGCTTAGAGATTGCTGGTTTAGATTCTGGAAGAAAGTATAAGTAAGTCAATGCCAACTAAAAAAGACAGAAGAATCTGCCTTCAAGGAGTGACTGTCAGAAATATCAGAAGTCTTTTAAAAATAATATATTTGGACTCATTGTGCTAAAGTTTTTGTATTCTTGTTTTTCTTCTGCAACCATGAATTTTATGCTTCTTTTTAATGTGAAAGCTGAACTTCTGAGTTAATTCTGTAACACTGAGTTACAACATTATTATTACAATATTAAGAGTTGTAATAATAAAAAAAGTTCCAAATAACAGAAAACTGAAAGTAAAAATTGTAATAATAGCATCAAAAAATGTCAACAGACTTGTTCTGAAAATGCAGGTCTTTTAATTACCAATGGTGAAGTTTCTGGGCATGTGTAAGAAGCAACATCAAACTTCCCTCATCCTGAAGAGAGTTGGCTTTTTTTCTCTGTTGTGATCCTGGAACCTCCTTTTCTTGCCCCTCCATGGCATGAATTATTAATCACAACATCCCTAAGTGTGAACCCATGGGTACTGCAAAATTTGTAATCAGTGGGGGTTTGTTTGTTTGATTGGTTGGTTAAGGTTTGGATGGGATTTTTTGTTTTGTTTGGGATTTTTGGTCTGGTTTTTTTAAAACTCAGATATGAAGCTTATGCTGTCATTTCCACAAACTGGCTGTTGCTGTGTGACAATTAGTAAATATTAGCAAATATTAGGCAAGGAAAGAATTTAATCTATTCTGGCAGTAATACATTAGTACTTAATGTCAGTTATGTTGGATATGACCATGAAACACAGAATCTTTTCCCTTCCAGATAGATAAGATAGCAAAAGCCAAGGCACTGAACAGTGTAAATGTAGCCAATGTTTTGTGGCTAGGTTTTGTGGCCTGGCACTTGTCAGAAAAGATGGTGAAGGAAGAGAGGGAAATTAGGATTTGATGATGATTTGCTTCTACATCCAAAGACAACATCCCCATCTTTAAATATCATGAGAAACAACATGTTTTCAAAAGTGATTCATGATTTTTGAGTATGCATTTGAAAGTCTTTGAGTTCTCAAACCTAGGTGTTTTGCTGGGATCCATTTTTTCAGAGGGCCAGAGGTCCATTTGTTCTGCAAACAAGGATTCCTTTGGGCTTTTTAGTGTGGATGGCATGAGCCTGAGGCATCCACAGGCAGAGATTGCCTTAGAAAAATCTTGCCCACTAAGAATTAAACTAGATGAGAGAAACAGGAGGAGCAAGTGCTTAGATAATGGAACACTGAATTATGTAAAATTAGCACTGGTTTACAAGCTGTGTCCAAGCCCATTTCAGTGAGTTCGCTTTTTATCTCAAACTGTACTTGTTTCCAAATGGCAAAGCCTTTGAGCTCTGCCACAGGACACTTCTGGTCTTAAAAGCTTAACTGTGTTTCCAAAATGCAGATGGTTTTATACATCAGAATGTTCTCCTAGAAGAAACATTTGAAAACTGTGATCATGGACCAGGGGTTGGTCTCAGGGCAGTCTCTTGTATCCCAAAATGCAACATGTTGGCAGGTGATGAAATCAGAACACAATTTTACAATTTGTGTAGAATATTCTGATGTTTATATGTCTTTGAGGCACAGCCGTTCAAGGGAAAAGGGACATTTTCTTTGGCTGGTTCCAATACACCTTGCTCCCTGGATCCATACTCTCTGCTTAGGTGTCTGGAAAATGTGCAAGGAAGAAGCTGCCAGGGTTGGTTCCACCTGATGTTATGAAAATAAATATCCATGCAGATTCAGATTTGCTTCAGAGTTGCACCAGAAGACAATATATTTTTAACATTCAGATCATTAACCTATGTTTTACTTTTCACTTATGGACAGTTCAGTCTTTACTTGTGTGTATGCATGCTCTACCCCACAGAGATATTTTACAATATAGTAGTCAACAGCAAATAATGGAGAATTCATTAAGTGGTAAATGGCTGTACGTTACAATAACCTCATTCAGTTAAACATTACTTCCCTTCTTCTGCTTTTCTTATAAATGTCATGAAGTGGCTGTTACCCAAGGTTTTAAGTAGGTGAAACAGTAATGGTAATACAACTTATTTTTTAAGGCAACTTTCAATATACGTGGCAAATTAATGTTCTCCCCTTTGGTGTGTTTATCTTCCTGTTGCAAAGATGTACAAGAAAACAAGAAGAAAATAACACTAGCTCCTGTTTGAATTGTATTTCTCTGATTATTTGTGGTTTTGCAGGGCCTGATTAATAGAGTATCCCAGTCATGTTGGTTTCACTTGAAGCTGTTTGAACTAAGCATTTCTGAATTAGATCATGATTCAATAGAGCAAGCAATTTAGGACTTAACTCCAGGCCTTGATAACCCAGAGCATGATTCTGTTGTAAAGATTGGTTTTAGTGGTGGGAAAGCTAGAAAAATCTTTCCATCCGTCTTAATATTCACTTACCACAGTAGCTGTCTTCCAGTTCAATACTGACCTCTCAGTTAGGTGAACAGCACTTTGTCCGTTTTCCTACAATTGTGCACCACAGCACAGATGTGCTTTTTTGATTGATGATATTCTAGTGGTAGCAGATGTTTGGAAAAATTATTGTGACCTGTGTCACCAGCTCTAAGCCTGTACTGAATTTAGCCGGTCTAGGAGAAAGCAAGGCCAAGTTATCTAATATATTTGCTTTTCACTATTACTTTTAAATTGAGATTTGCTTTCCTTGTGAGGAGATCTTGGCATCTCCAGGTGCCCTAATGCTCCCGTGTTTGAAAGCTGTATGCATGGACTTCCTTGTTCTTACAACCTAAAATATCATTCTTCTTGTTCCTACACTAGTTTTGCATGCACACAGTCTCTAGAAGCTTATTGAAATGTTACTTACAAATAAACATAGCTGTTCTTGTAAGCAGATTGGCTGAGACAACTTTCACATGTTTCAATGCACTTGGTGATGAGCAGTTTTAGGTGTTGCCTTTCCTATTTTCCCCGGTATCATTTGTGACAGTAGCCTATACCATGGTTTACCTTTGGCTTTAGCTGTGTGGGACTGTGGTGTGACCCAGATTAGGAGATTGATACAGATAAAGTGTTTTCAGAGTTTTTCTTTTTTGAGTTGGGGCACAGATGAACGAGAAAAGGAGAGTTTTCAAAACAGTGTATCTGAGAACAGTGATCATGTCTCCTTCACCTCACTAGGCCTTTGCTTCTCAATTGCCAAGGTGTGCCTCACAGCTGAAGTACTGTGTGTTGTTGTGGCCCAGCTTCCGGCTTAATGTTCTGTGCTCTTCCTTCATTGCAGCAATTCAGCTTTGTCTCCCTGCCCACGGACGTCCTGGAAATAGAAGTTAAAGACAAATTTGCAAAAAGCCGACCGATCATCAAACGTTTTCTGGGAAAACTTTCTATGCCGGTTCAACGCCTCTTGGAAAGACATGCCATAGGGTAAATTTTGCTGCTTTTGCTGCTTTCTGTTTTTCAATGAGTGTATTGCTGTTTTGAAATCCCTGGTGATGTATCATTATTGTGATACAACGATGTTGAGGGGAAGTTATTAAACTGACAGTTTTCTGATACATGGTGTTGGTCTTAATTAGAATTTATAGGACTATGGGCCAGACAAAGAATTCCCTCTATAACTCTGTGCATGGCATTTTGAGAAATGAGAACTGGCATTTAGGAAAGAAGACTTTCTTACGTATCATGGCTGCGAATCTGGAGAGTGCAATATTTTCAATTTGAATATTCTTTGAATGTTGTCAGCAGGCTGTTTTCATATTTCAGGAAATTACCTATGGGCTAAAATCATACCAGATCTGGTTCTCCTCCCTTTAATTTCTGGAGAGCTGAAATATTATAAAAAAATATATGTGGCATGTTGTAACTAAAGCTTCCTGACCCTACCCTGCTGCCAAGGAGCAACCTTGAGCTCACAAGTCCTGCCCTGCTTCCCCATTGCATGAAAGTCCTGAGAAAGTATATGCTGCCAAAATAACACAAACCAATTTGAGGAAGATGGATAGTATTCAGACAAAGCCAAAAAGTTGGCTCTAAGCCTGTAACCTTCAGACCTTGAAGAGCAGGGGAGAAAAAGAGTCATCTCCTAAGGAAAGCAGGAACAATGCAGTTTCCACGAAGGTATTTCTGAAAATTGTATCTTAATTCAGCAGAACAGCAGGAATATGAGCTTGTTGGAAGTGTTTTTCAACAGCTGGTTCAGAAACTGGCTGTGATATTGACAGCTGAATCTACCAGAAGGGACTAAGCTACCTCCTTTTTTCTCAAGTAGGGAAGATAGAGTAGCTATTTAGAAACCAGATGGAAAAGAACAGCTTGGGGAAGTTAGAACACTGTAACTGGTATCATTGGCTTTCCGCTATATGAGAAGATTTCTTATCATCTTCTGGTTATAGCTTCCTATTTGACTTCCTTATGGTAAACACTGTCTATCTAAGGATGTACTTTGCCAAGAGCAGTGCCTCCAACCTACACACTAGATATGGCTTAGTTTTAATACCCTATTGGCATTTAAATCTCAGGCAAGCTCAATGAGTATTCACACTAATTCAGAGAGGTCATACACAAATCTTGAGATCGTCTCATTTATATGAGTTTCTGATGCATGTGAAGCTATCCTAGCAAATATATTTGGCACAACTGGAAGTGAACTATGTTTCTTCAAAAGATGTATAAATATTACTATTTAGTGAACCCATTACACTCAAAAAATGCTTTGCAAAGATTGATTCAGCCGCATTGTGGGCAGCTGGGAAGTTAATCTCTTCTATAGTTTCGTTCTGTTCTGAGGGGTGGATGAAGTGTGGCAAAGGGAGGGACCTGCACAAGGACAGAATGGAGTCATTGATCAACCTTGTCAGGAAGGTGTTCTCCTGATATTTCAGCTTCATAGAGGTAAGAGGGGTGGAAAGAGATTAAGAGCAGTCATTCAGCCAGTTTGAAGAGAGAAGGTGGTAAGCGGGGAATGGCCTGCACAGGATTTCGTAGACAAGAACAGGAAAGATTCATTTTATGCACATGGTGAGCGGAAGAAAATACAGAAATGTGAGGTTCTACAAAAGGGTAGATATGGTCAGATCTGCAGGAAAGCAAAGTCTTGTTACAATAGCTGAAGTGGGAGTTGTTTGCTTCCCATGTTGATATTTTCATATCCATACTGCAGAAGTTTCATTCCCACCATTCTCTCTATATTTATACATATGTGCTTGTGTATCCCAGCAGCCTGTCTTATTCACTTACTCAGCTGTTCCATTGTAATTGAAGACATTGTCCTCTCCTTCTCTGCCATTCGTTCTCTCGTATGCAAGTCAACATGCCCTCATGGCTGGGATAAATAGCCTTTATGTACTTGATTATGTATTTTTGTAGAACACAGCAGATTTATCTATGCACAGTAGACATTGGGTAGGTTATAGTCTATTGTGACAATATTTGTTTTCTTTCAGGGACAGAGTTGTAAGCTACACTCTGGGTCGCAGGCTTCCTACAGATCATGTCAGTGGCCAGCTGCAGTTCCGATTTGAAATAACTTCTTCCATCCATCCAGGTAACTCTCAGTCTTAACCCATCTCTTTTTTGTTTTGATTTTTTGGTGGTGGTGGTGGGTTTTTTTGTTTTGTTGTTTTCTTTTTTTTTTTTCCATTCTTTCTCTTCAGAAATCTGAATTTATTCCTGGATGCTCTAGGACTTAAGGTACAGTCATGAGCAAAGGGAAATGAATAAAGTCCCCTGTCACAGGACGCATTGTGAGTCACAATTTCTTCACTGTTTCCCCTTAGCTTAGAGGTACTGGTATCTCATATTCCCTTGTTCTTGGCTACTTCAAATACTCTGCCACATCACTGGACAGAAAACTAAAGTCTGACCTGCTTCTCTATCGTTTGCCCTAGTGAAGTGCTACATGGGCCATTGTTTGTAGGGTCACTGCATTTGAGCACTTCATAAGTTAAAATGGACAATGTAATAGTAGAGATAATTAGAAATTTTTTTCATTTTGATTATTTTTAATGAAAAAGTAAAAATAAAACAAAAAATAATGCAGTGTTCCAGTCCTTCCCTCCTTTTTATGGTTTGGTTTTGGTTCACATTCTCTTGTAATTATACAGAAGTAACTGTCATGGTGGTGTAAGGTGTAACCTTGGTTTCCATGTCACAGTCTCAATAGCATTTCTCAGGGACTCTCTGCCTGAGGGACTCTCTGCTCTCTCTGGTACACTTTGTCAAGCTAATAGCAGCTGCATTGGTGGCTGGATATCATTACTTTCCCCTTGATGCAAAACCCGGATTTCTGTCTTTTGACTATTTAGATGGCGTAAAATAGCTCAGGTTGTTTGGTGCCTGGAAGGAGGTGGTACAGATGAGGATCACATCAAAGGATATTTTGGGGAAAGTTTTCGCCAAAGGGGTGTGAAAAACAGTTTTTTACATTCTCTGTTGTGGAGTCTTGCCAGCTTCAACATGAAAAGAAGAATGTCATTAAAGTCTCGGGGAAGACTTCCTTGTCATTCCCATGATGTTCCCTCCAATGCCAGTTTGGCTCAAAGAGGAGTTTCAAGAAGGTGTTACCTTCAGGTTATGCTGCAAGGAGGCAGAGTGCTGCATACAAATCACCACCATGAGTAAGCCTGTGATTAAATCCACTGTACAAAGACTGCTTAGCAAAAAAAATCAACACTTCTTGATAGTTGTTCAGCTGCCCACGCATTTCACACTGTAATTTATGCTTTTAATTTTCTCAGATAGCTGTGGATGCTTGTGCCCCCCCAGCCAACCTCTGGTTCAGTCAATGCTTCTTATTAAAGAAAGACGTAATTAATTTCTTTTACTGTCTCATGCAGATGATGAAGAGGTCTCCATTAGTGCAGATCCTGAGCCAGCTGACCTCCAGGAAAGCCCTGTGAACAATCCCACAGAGGAAAGCCTCGGTGAGCCTCCATGCATCAACACAGTGACCTCAGAAAGTGCAGCTCCAGAACAGCTAAATGGATACAGTGTGAACAGTGTCGATAGCCCAGGGGCTGTCAAACCACCTGGGGAAGTCAACCAGAACAGCTTAAATGAAGAGCTAGCAGGAGATGGGGAGGTTGATGCGGTGCCAGTTCCTGAGCCCTTGGAATCCATCCCAGGAGAAATGCTTTCTTCTTTGAGTGCTACGGACCTCACAGAGCAGTCGACTCTGATGGCTTGCATGTCTCCTCCTGAGACTGAAGTTAGGGAAAATAACAAAGTCAATTCTGGTATTCAGGGAGATGGTGGAGTGACCAGCATAGAAACATTAGATATTGATGAGGTGAGTGCAGATGTGCATGCTGGCAAGGACTTAGAGAAGAGTCAGGAAGAAGATGAAGGGGCTTCAGCCCAGGAGGAGGAAGACAACAAGCTACAACTGAGGACCACAGCAAAGAGGAAAAACAGGCCATGCTCCCTGCCTGTGTCTGAACTTGAGACGGTCATAGCTTCAGCCTGCGGTGAGCCAGAGACCCCTCGCACACACTACATACGGATCCACAACCTACTCCACAGCCTGCCCTCAGCACAGATGAGCAGTGATGGGGAAGAAGAACAAGATGGTGGCAATGGCGGGGAGAACGATGAGGAATCTACGGTCAAGGAGGTGTTGGATAAGGAAGTGGTCAGTGAGAGTGAGACCGTGGCAGCAGAGCCTCCTCTGGAAAATGAGGCTGAAGAGAACTTCAGCCAGAGAACAGTGCCTCCTGAGACCTTGGATGAGCAACTCTCCGACTTAAATGATGGGCTGTTGGATGGGGAGCCCCTCAGGACAGGAAGCGAGAGCGAGTCAAGCTCCAGGCCCAATGGTGACAATGAGTGCGAAACCTGCGACACCTCTTGCTACAGCCCCTCTTGCTACAGCACTTCCTGCTACAGCACTTCCTGCTACAGCACTTCTTGCTACAGCACCTCGTGCTATGACAGTAACAATCGCTTCTCCAGCCATACTCGCTTCTCCTCCGTCGACAGCGCAAAGATTTCTGAGAGCACAGTCTTTTCCTCACAGGATGATGATGAGGAGGAGAACAGTGCTTTTGAGTCAGTGCCAGATTCAGTGCAGAGCCCTGAGCTGGACAGGGAGCAAGTGGATGGCTCCTCCCAGTGGCCAGATGAACTAGTAGCTCATGCTGGGAATCCACAAAGAGCCACAGAGGGTCTAGACACCCCAATAGCAGGTCCAAGCAGCAGAAGAGAAGGTTAGATCCCAAGAATTGATGCGCTGAGCAACCCTGGTTATCTAGATGTCACGGAAGGCATCAGATAGTCGAGGTTTCAGATAGCTCACAGTTTAGTTCTTACCAATTTGGTGGCTGTGAGCTGGGCCAGATATCAGGGAGGGTTGGATAATTGAGCCTTTCCTTAAAAATCCCAGCAAAACCAAATAAATCAGGTGGAGATCTGTCTGTATGGATTCCTGTAGATATACGTGCATCATTATAAAATCAAGATTAGCTACTCTAGTTATGTGGCAAATCAGCATTATCGCATCCACCTACTCATTCCTTTTTTCCTGGGATTGTTCCATTTCACACATCTGATGCGCTGCCATGCCTCTGATAGTTAGTGAAAGGACCAGCTTGTGCTTGTCAAAGGGCAAATATGCTGATTTGAACCAGATAAAGGGCCAGTTTCTGTATATTTGTTGTAATTCCCCAAGTATCAAAAAAATGTACCTCAGATGTCACAGATCATAGGGCAACTCAACAGAGATTTATATTTTTTCTTAGACACTTTGGAAATTTAACTATCTTGAATAAAATTCTCATCTCCTTATCCTACCCTAGAGATAGAATATACTTTAAAATGTACTTTTTTTTGTCTTTGCAATTTAGGTACTGTTTTTCCCAATTCCCCAAACAGTTAGATTAAATCCCTCCCTTTGGTAACTCATTTTGTGTTGTATGCAGTTACATAAAGAGAGGGGGTTGATCACTCATCTTTTCTTCAGCTAGCGTATCGTTTTTCTCCAGCTCTAGAAGTAAAGGACTCAACTGCAGCTAAGGAGTATGCAACAAGGTCAAGGGGTAGTCTTTGCATTCCCAAATTCTGAGTCATCTGTCTCCTTCTGTAAGTGACACCAAATTAAAATGGCAGCAAAAGCATATCCTATTTGGGCATCACTGGGAAACCCCAACTAAAGCATCCTTCTACATTTTCCTTCTCCATTCCCAGTTTACTTACTCCCACCTTCCACTGCCACAGACCCAACCCATGCAGATAAAAGGTGTAAGGGTGGCCTTACACACAGGCCTGTGTAAAGACTTTGTAGACAGCTGGGACTAGGGAGTTATTCAGACTGTAAAGCAGAATCTAGCCCAAAGAATTAAATTTTCAGACATACACAGGCATAGAAACCAAGTTTCCTTCCTTGCAGGCGAGAGGCTTTGCTTGTGGACAGCATTTATGTGGAAATGCTCATACCTAAGTGGGCATGAGCATGAGTATGTGTGAGACCATACCTACAGATTTGGTGGTTATTTTGGACTGTGTGTGCTTTTGATAGGGGATGTGGTGGGAGAGGGTGTCTTGTGCATATGGATTCAGTACAAGACCAAGACTTGAGCCTATATAAAGGGCACTGCAGTGTTCACAGTGGCTTTGCCTTGGTTAGCTAAGGGCAAGCCCATCTCTTAGCACTTTCTTGGTGTCACCAGGGGTGCTTCAGTAAATGTGCATGTTGCTTCATGACTTGGCAGCTGTTACAAATACAGTAGATGTGGTCACCTCCGTCCACTCCAGGTGACCGATACTACTACTATGCTTCCGCTGGCTTGGCGTAACTATCTTGACTAGGGGAGAGTCAATTTCGGTGAGGTAAGTAAAGAAACATAGATGGGTGATGTGGTAGTCAGTGCTACAACACCTGTAGTAACAGCACAGTTTTTAAGACTATGGGAGATGGACTTTCAGCATTGAGTAATAAACTTACATAATCTGCCGTCTGTTCAAAACATGCAGCAGATACATCTGTGAGATACGCCTATACACAAGTGGTTCGATGAAGACATTTAACAGACCATACGGTATCATCAGAGCACCTAGAAGAGGGAGTATTTTTGTCTAAGCAATTTTTCTCACTTCTGGATGGTGTGAGATTTTTTTACAGTTTTATACAAAATTGGCTTCTGCCTTCTAGCTGTTGGTTGTTTAAAAACAAAAAAAAAACCCCATGTTTTATATTTTTTGGTAATTTTTTTACATTTGATAACTATATGTTTGGGGTTTTTATATAAAATGTTCGTTCTTAGGTTGTTAAGATTCTGACATTACAGACAGATAAACCAGCTACCGCACAATGAGTTTGGCTTTGCATTCCAACATCCCCAGAACTATTCATATTTTTTTCTATGCATCTTTCTGATGCATGTAAATATTATATTTACGCAATTCAGATTGTATCTGTATTAACAAGCCTATCTGGAGCTGGAGGTTATAGTGAAAAACTGTTACCACACAATATGAAAATATGTCCCTTAGTAGGATAAATAGTCCCGGTTTCTAAGATTTTAAGGACAGACCAGGAAGGAATCTTTATTCTGGAACCTTTGAAGTTTTAGTGAGCAGGTTCCTTATTCTCACAGTTAAGTCTAAGATGAGGAATGCTTGTTCATCCCTACTGTAACTTCTTAGTTTCTTAAAGGATTTTTTAAACATTGACTGGATCTTAAGTAACTTGTTCCTTTCAACCGAATGTCAGTTTGGACATTTACTTAGGTTTCATTTGTTTCATATTTAGATATGGCAGGAGAGTTGGAACTAGATGATCTTAAGGTCCCTTCCAACCCAAACCATTCTATGATTCTATATATGGACGTGTATACAATATTAGTGTTTAAAAACTTCCTCTGCACTGTCTACTGTGTGACTCCTTTTCTTCTTCTTCTTTCTCTCTTCTCTATCTCAGGTCTTCCTTCCTTATCTCAGATCCTGACTATTTCTCACTATCTTTTTTCCTTCTCTTCTACCGCCTGTCTCCTATCTGTTTCTGATCCTTCTCTCATTCTCCTCCTTCCACGAAAGATGGACTCTGAATTTTGAAAAATACCTCTAAAACGGGATGATCTGCTTTGCAGGGACTGCAAAATCCTGTCATTCTGGTACACATAGGCAGCCACTGGTCCTTTGGAAAAGCAGAGAAAGATCCAAGGCAGCTTTTAGCCTCTTATTCCAGTGGTGGGATAATTTAAAAGTTGGAATCAGGATTTTGCATGTTCCTGCCAATTTCTGCAACAGCTTGAGTTTGGTTGTATGTGAACAGTGTTTCTCAGAGATCAAGCCTGATTCTTCTCTCGCTTACACTTGTGTGCTTATGAGTCCAGAATCTGGCCCATAATAGTTTTGCATTGATTTGACTGCATTACTGTAATACTTCTTTACAATATGAGTTGTTATTAAAATAGGGCCTGAAAATAGGAATGCCCGGAGATGCTAGTACACCAGGTTAACCTCTTTGTAAAATAGTCACTTGTTTTACAGTAGCACATTTTTTGAACCACATTGTAAAAACAGTGAATGACTGTCAATGTCTTGAATATCTTGTCCGTAGGTGATTGTCCTTTACTCCATAATTCTCAGCCAGTCAGCCAGCTTCCTTCTCTGAGGCCTGACCATCATCACTACCCAACTATCGATGAGCCTCTTCCACCAAGTAAGCTTTAGTTTTTTATTTTATTGCATTTTTTCAGCTTTTCCTGTTAACTCAAACAGTGTAGAGGTCAGTATGTCTTTCTAATGAACCCTGTCTGTTCTGTATATACAGTCAACAGAACCCAAGCAATATGCCCATTTGTTTCCCTTATTGGATCCTGACTTCAAGTGTTGTCATGTTATTTTGAACAAGCTCCATAACCTCCGTCTGCCTTGGTCTGTCTTCTTCCTTAGCCATGATGAAATGGAAATAATAGTATTTCCCTGTTTGCAGTCAGTGTGTTTAGGCTCGAATGACTGGGTATCTGTCAGGTGTTCTGGAAGCCTTAATATAGAGCTTTCTGGGTGGTGTTTCAGCAAAGTACTCTGATTTTTCTATAATGTTTGTCTCCAGCTTTTCCATAACCAATTTCAAAGATGGTTTGGGATGGCAGTCCCTGTGATCTGTCAGGTCTGTAAGCAGGTCCAGCAGGAACCCTTTCGTGGTCAGGATGCTCCTGGGACAGACAGGTCGAAATCTGAACAAAACCAGCAGAAGTTGGGAAAAGACAGCTTATGTAGAGTGGTCTTCTACTGTCTTTGAATTTGATTATCAGTGATTTTTATGTTCATTATGAACTGTAGTGAATTCTACACTTCCTTGAATAAAAATGACAGTCTTAAGTAGCATGATTGATTAGTAGCCTGGTAATACGGGATTTTTACCACGGAAGCAACTGCTGGAGGTGTTTTTACTTGTCTTTGTAGCCTTTCCCTTGGGTATTCCTGGAGGATTACCCTGCTTTTTGCACTGGCGTCCAGTGCCCAGCAGAGCGCACTCTATGCCCTGCAACGTACTGCTGATCACCTTTCAACTTGAGCGCAGGATTTAACAGCCTGAAATGTGTAGTGCCTCACAAAAACAACCAGGCATATAAACAAAGCACTCTATTTTCTTCAAAGCCCAAGAAGGAAACACACTTATTTGGCCTGTGGTGCCCTTCACAAATAATTCATCATTTGCCAACCATGCTGTCAGTATTCCCTAAGCCGAAAATAGCCCTGATGCTGGCGTCAGCTGCACAGTTGCATGAGTGATTCAAATGCCTTTAACCCAATGAAGTCTTATTAGAGTCCCACTGTGGCTTGCCAGTGAATGATGAAATGGGAATGCTTACCTCTGTAACAGGCAAATATTTCTCTTCCTCACACTCTTACCACAACACTTTGTGAATAGGGCACATTCTCCATTAGATGACTTAATGAAAGGACACTGACACCAGCTCAGGTAAACAAAATATACTGTAAATCTCTTTCATACTCTGCCATCATCGATTTAATATGTTTTTCCTCTTTCTTTTAATTATCCTCAAAAGGCAAGTATTTCTACCATCGATTTTCACAAGTGCTTCCACAAGGTTTAAGGACATGAAATGCAATGTGTGATGATAAAATACAGAAGTGATATCCCTTTGGAGGATTTTGTTTTAGCATTGGCATACAATATAATTTTTACAATAAAGGCTGACACTGTGGGCTTCAATATATTGATCTGAATAGAAATAAACCATACTAAGTTAATGTTGGGAAAAAAAAAAAGTTTAATTGAATAATATCACTTAGAAAACCAGTTTCCAAAAACTCTTCATGAAATTTTACAGGAATTTCAAAATGAAAACTATAACCTTAATCTAGAATTTTTTTCTTTTTCTGGAATTCAGTGTCACTATCTCAGTGTGTTTAATGCCTCTTAATCCTAGATAAATAGTTCTTCAATCATGTGAAAGGAGGAACCTTTACCATTTAAACCTGAATTATGTGATCAAACCTGGCACATGCAGTGCTAACTTCCATCTATAAGTAGAGGTGAAGATAATTTGCTGCAGGTTCAACATTTATTGATTTTATTTAGGTCATGGAGACTCTTCTGGACAATCTTCTTTGTCTTTTTAACAGTTTTCTGAATAGCTTGATTTCATCATAAGCCCACAACAGTTGGTCTCAGGGAGGAAATTTAATTTCAGATAGTTTTATTTAGGAAAGTAAAGTAGAATAAATTCATTATTTATGTAGGAATTTCATAATGACCAGTATGAATGTTCAGGTCGATGTGAGATTAACAGAAGAATTGCAGAGTTTGTGGGGCCTCAAAACGGCATTAATAGTCACCCCTTATTAAGCCTGTCTTTGCTAGTACTGATGGCAACCCTACAGAACTGAAGCAAAGTTGTGCCCATGTGCCCAGTTCAGAGCTGCTCTTTGCTGAAGGCGTGGCTGCTTGGAAAGGGAAAGGCAGTGTGCTTACTTTGCCCTGATGTTCTTGCCCGAAGAAGTTGTCTTCTGTTATAAATCAGAGCAGTATCAAAGCTGCTGTGAAATATGACTTGGCTGATGGAGGGGGATCACCAGAGAACAGAACCAGTACTGTCATGTCCCCAGCCTGTGCTCTAGCTTGCTCTTACTGTGAAGGTTAGATGGAGGTTAGTCTTTGTAGTAGTATTTTACCTGAAAAACTTAACAAAAAACCCTCAGGAAATCTGGCTGCTTCCTAGATCACCTATGCCTGTGAATTAGCATGAAGGGACTTGAGCACAGCTTAGAAGCAGAGTTCTGTCCGTCAGTTCACCTGTCAGCCTATTTGTCTTACTGTGCAGGTATCCATCCATCTGTCCACAAATCTGGTATCATATGCAGGCAGCTTCAGTGACTTGTGTGACTTACAGGTTGTCGTATGGGAAGGTAGAAAGTACGTCTGCCACCTGTGTACAACAAAAGTTGTACCTGACACCCTCTGACAACCTTCCTGGGTGACCAGAAGAAGATTTATTCAGCAGATTAGAAATGCTATCGCAAGGAGCATGAGACACACAGTTCCTAATGTTTTAGCAGGCTAATGCCAGTGTCAGCCCATGGTTTCAGGTGTATCTACCCATAATGCAGTGAATAAAGCAACACTCACTTATAGATGTGGCTCATGTTGTACATACTTTTGCTGTATGTCTGATACATCTGACAGAGACAGCCTTCCTGAAGTCGTAATCCAGTCTGCATGATCCTGACCTGATGTTTTCACTGTGACCTCCAAGCTCTGGACAAGTTTCCTTACTCCTAAGTTTCCAAGTATTATGCTTAGAAGCTTAGGAACTCTAAGTTGTATTTAATTAGACAGACGCTGCGAGATAGAATCTAGAGCTGATAGTGCACAGGACTGGATCACAGAACCTTGTTTGACTGTGTATTCTTGCTAAGTGTCCATCACAAGGCTTCAGACCACTATGACCAGGTGATGTCTTCTGTAGGCTGTCTAGAGTGTCGATCTACAGCATTGCCTACAAGCTTCTAATCATCCATCAGTCTTCATTATTCTCAGCTTTTTACGAGGTACAACAATAGCGTGGGGTGAGGGCTAGAATTTTGCCAGACAGCAGCAAGGAAAATGAAGATCTTCATGATGTTAAGGTACATCGTCTCACCTTTGATCTGGCCAAGGTTATTTCCTCAAGGATATTGCAGATAATGCGTAGCTCCAGAAGGACCATTCCCTACCCAAAGCGGTACACCTGTCACCTGTGCCAGCATGCTTAGCAAGGCTCTGGCCTTCAACCTGCCTTATGTGTCAGTGTGACTTACTTCAATATGCATATGTTGTACTTGATGTGCTTTTTTTTCACTGTCTTATGTTTTAGACATGGTTTTCACAAAGCTGTGATCTTGTTCTTGAAACAGCTACAACATCCTTGGGAAACTTTACCTGGTGGAGTAAGAGAGAGTCCTCTCCTTAAATTATATAGTGATGTTCACAGTGAGAGACACTGCATGTATACCCGTGGTGTGACTATAGGTTTTGCATCTTCAAGGACTGTGGTACTTACAGTCAGCTTTGAAAGAAATAATGCATGTGCATATGGCTCTTGTTGTCTTGGAGTCTTACAGAAAATTTCTCCAAGGACTCTCAGTGCCCATCTTTTAAGGTTTGTGGGATTCACCTGTCAGGGACAGCCAGCCAGCCATAGACTTGAGACAGCCTACAATTTTCTGGGACCAGGTATAGGAAGTGGGTTTAGCCAGAGCCAGCATTCAGGAGATGGGAACTGGTCATGAAGGATAGGGGTCCAGATACAACAGTGAGAATTACAACTTCAGTCCTGCTCTTAGAGAGTAGGAGATAAAATACATAAAGTATGAAATCTAGATGATCCTGAATTTGATCATAGAAAACCATAGGACTCATCAGGGAAGATGGTATTATAGTGAGAGTGTGGGAATATGGGGAAGTATTTGCCCTCAAAGGTAATCACCATATGTGCATTTGTGTGTGAATGAGAGTGAGGTTTGTATATAAATTTGCGTAGAAGGTATGTGCATGTATTTACGTAGATATGTAGTCAGCTGATGGGTCATGTAGCAATATGAAACTAGCAAGCCTGATTTATTCCACTTCTCCATACATTCGGACCAGTTTGATATGTGGCTTTGCTAGCTAACTCACTTCTGAATTTCTCCTGTTTCAAACAGTTTTTTTATCATTACCATTTTCCACAAGCCATCATATACCAAACAGGTTTTAGTTTTCAGTCATGGGACAACATAAACATTATCAGGAAACAATAATGATGGAAGGCTCAATATTACGATGCAAACTCTCAATCTAGTTTGCATTTGTCAGAGCAATAGATTTACAATACTCTCTTTAGAGAGATTTCTGTGTCCAATCAGTTTGTGATCAGCTTTCAGGGAAACCTTTAATTGCTCTGTGGTGTCCTTCAAAGCCACTTAATAAAAAGGAGAAAAATGAAACATGTTTGTTCTGAAACATAACAAAAAAAGAAAACATGGGATTTGCCATATTAGCTCAGGTGTAATCTTTTTCTACTAAGAGTCAGTTCTATGTGGCTACTCTGACCTGCAGTGAATCCAGCCAACAAGTATCACCAACTGAAAAACTATCTAGCCCTTTTGAAAATGCAGCCACTATGTCACTAGCTTTTCATGGGCTATGGTAGTGAATTCCATGGCCTACCTGTGTGCTGTGTATGAAATGTTTATGTATATGCACATACTGCATATATGTATATAGAGACAAGCACATAGTATATATGCACCTTGAATGTATACTTTGAATGTATACACATAATATATATTGCACGCATGTAGGCTATATATATGGTGTCTCCTGTGTGTATACACCCAGTCCGTGCACATGTGTGTATCTGTATGTGTCTCCCACATTTAGGTTTTCTGGAAGGCATCACACTGACAGCATCACCCCTTCCTTTTTTTCCCACACTAGATTGGGAAGCTCGGATAGACAGCCACGGGAGGGTATTCTACGTTGATCATGTCAACCGAACCACCACGTGGCAGCGCCCCACAGCCGCGGCGACGCCGGATGGGATCCACAGGTCTGGCTCCATCCAGCAAATGGAGCAGCTGAACCGGCGGTGAGCATTAGCGCCTAAATTCCTTTGAGATCTGTGCTCTCCTTTTTCCACACTGCCCCAGTAGCTTCCTTCTTTCTCCAGTGCACCGCTTTGACTCCCTAAGGATTTATCTTTCCTCCTTGTCCAAATTCTTGTCCCTGCTGCTGATCTCTTTCAGCCTGCAGGTGTGCCTGCTGTGGGTGTCTGGTACGCAAACTTGCCCACAGGCGCAGTGCTGTTGAGTGAATGATATTGCAAAACGTTTCAAACAGCAAGAAGAGGTTTTTTGGAGAAGTTTCCTGAAATGACTGCCAGAAGGGAAGGGAGGAGTCTTCTAAAAGATGGAGTCACTTTTGTTATTTAACTGTAGGAGGGGTGTCGATGGGTCGGAACCTCGTACTGTGCTGTTCCTGAAATTGCTGCCATATCAGTGTGGCATTTCTACTCGAGCTAATAAGGCCTGCTGAAAGGTCTGTCTCCTTTCCCAGAGCAGAGCCCTGCTCTAATAGGACCGTGCACATTTCTAGATGTAGACAGGTCTGCTTAACGTTGCATTGGGCCCTGTAAATCTGTCAGTTTGTTCTGAGCTGGTTGAAATATCTCTTAATGTGTCTTATAGTTTCACTTTTTTTGACTAGTCCACACATAGATTTTGTCATTTTGTTCTCATGTTTGCTTTTTAGACTGAATTTAAGAGGGCAAAGAAAAAACAAACAATTGGTCAAAAATCTTCCTTTTTTTGCTTCAGAAAAGGTTTTGGTTTGTTTGTTTGTTTTTTATTCCCTGCTTACTGTAATAATGCCATTTCTAGAAAAGGACAGGCAAAACTGAAATTATATTTTAATTATAGCATGTAAAATGCCACAAAAGTTTTTTGATTTTTTTTCTGTGCTAAGAGAAAGATCTGCAACTGAGAGAGGGGTGCAGAATTTTAAAGTGCTCCTTTCAGAGTACTTTGAATAGTTTGGGAGCTACTGTGCCCTGAATGGGGCAGTCTGGGAGAACTGGGCCCTGAGTGACAACAATTAGAAAGGTAATATAACTCATGGAGAGCAAACCAGCCTTCCCAAAGTGGTTGTTTTGCAACTTACCATGACACCATCAACACGTTCTTAAAGAAATAATCTTTTTTTTACTGGAATTTGTAATTTTGATTAGCATTTCTTTAATTGTGTTATATCTTGCAGAAGTGAGAGAAACTGCAGTATTTGTTTTCATTATAGCTTTGCTCATGAAGTCTCAAGCTACCATGTTAATGTAGAAAAAAACAAAACTCTATAAAGAAAGTGAATGTTTTATGTAGATTCTTTCATGGGATTTGCATGACTTCTCTGCCATTTAGCATTGGTCTTTAAGAGGGATTTGAGCCATGCCAAAGCTCAGACTATTTGGCTGCCACTTAAGCAAGTTATCTGCCACAGAAAGCAGAAAAGTTGTGGACATATATCAGATTTTTAAAAAATTTTTTTGAGGTTGAACTCATGGAAGCACATCACAACTATGGAAGGAATAAATGCTTGTGAGAGTGATTTATGTTAGCTAATGCAGGTTAATCATTGAACCAGCTATCACAGCAGACACCGAAGGATAGACATTGCCTTTGTGACCTCCTTCTTTCATATTATGCCATGTTTTCATGTAGGCTGTCTGCCTGTCTTGGTTATGATTTGATTATCACTAGCTTGTGTTGGGAATTGACAGTTAATAAGGCTGATGTTCTTCGGATCTCTCTGTTTTTAGTATTCATATATCCAGTTACAAAGGGAGAAGTATGGAGGGGTTTCAGCAGTGGCATATCTCTCCTTACCCAAGTCCCATTGGAGACTAAGCACTTTGCCATTTATTAAACATGAACTCTCATGACTTCTTGGGACTAAGGAAAAAAAGCTGGTGATTCTCTACTGTCTGCCAAGGAGCTCTGTTGATTCAAGAAGCTGAATATGAAAGTCTTCTATCTTTACCAAGTTTGGAACATTTCCTATGATTCTAATAAAAGGGATTCATACTTTGAGCGTTTGTCCAGTGACAACTCGTTTCTGTAATTTCAGCCTGACTGGATTTTTTTAATTATTGTTGTCCTAAATCTAATTTCAGATATTTCATGTCTCCACTTTTCAGGACTGTGAGGAAAGCTGCTTTTCATAAATAGTTATTATCAACACTGTGAAGGATTGGGCTTTGTTTTGAGCACTCATTTTAGAAATACTCTTTTGATGTATTTCAAAGTTCACAATTTGAAATGTTTTTGAAATGAAAGAATCATTTTAGGTGAGGCAACAGCAAGCATAGACCTTGCTGACAGAATTAGCAGCAGCCTGAACTTTTGCACTAACCTCAAACAAAATTTGGACTCAAAATCACTCAGCAGTTTGAAAAAACTTGGTGACTTTTCTTTTTAAATCAATTTACTTACTCTTTGACTTCCTGATTTCGTTTGTGGAAGGGAATGGAAAGACCAAAATATTACAAGGAAGCCTGGTATTTCCAACCCAGCCAAAACCACAAAGCTTTGGAAATTCAGCTTGAAAAAGAAACCTGTAGCTGTGATTAAGCCTAGTCCTGCTTTCCTTCTGTGCTCCAAGCTTCCCTTTAGCTGTACTAGCCACTTGAGGATACAGGGAATGCAAAACTGGAATCCAGGTGTTGGGCAAACACCAAAGAGACGTCCATATTTCTTATTTTAAAGGCTCTTGATCATTTTCTGCAGCACTGCCTGACTTACTTAATTGTTGGCAAAGCAGATAACAGCCCTTGTTGTCCAAGCTCTGTTGAGAAGATATTTTGCAGCATATTTATGTCTAGATTTGTCTGTGCACTTGTTTGAAAGATAATAAGTAACATAAGAAATTACAACCACAATAGTTAAGACAGCCACAGCATGGTATTTCTTAATCTCCATTTCTCTGACAAATCACTTTGAACAGTTACTGAAATTTCCAGAGGCATTCCCATAACTTTTGCACTTTCAATGTTTTGTCCAATTACTTTGGCATTTTCTGGTATTTATACAAGGTTATTTTATAGTGTTGAGACCCAAAAGAAAGGCACAGCCTTTTGTTGGCATACAGCTAGCGTTACTCTTTGAGGGTTGCCAATAGGGATTTTCTACCATCTAATTAAATCGAAGGTACAAGGTTTTTCTATATGTGTGCTTATATGCCTTGATTATATGAACGTGGGGGGGGATGTTTTGGGGTTTTTTTCCCTTTCTTTTTCCCTTTTCCCTTTGTTGTGTGTGGGTGTTGTAAAACTCCTCCAGTACTGGAATGGAACATTCATTCAATTGCCTGCAGTCAAGTGAATAAAACTGTAAAATGTAGCTCTAAAACAGGGGGTTTAAAACTGCAGTAAATTCATGCTGTAGCAAAACCTGCTATCAGAATTTCCTTGTAAAGATGAATGTTTTCTTAAACTATCAAAATATACGCTAAATGTAGCTTCAAATGAATTTGAGTACTGTAGGGGGACACATAGTATTGTGAAAGTTTGGCATAAATCTATTAAAACTTTGATTGTTTTTCTTAATTATCTCCAGGCCTTCTGCTTAGGATTAAGTTGCAGTGAGCTACTGGAGATGAAGTCTTTTGAGATATGAAAAAGCCAAATCCTAACTACTTGTCTTTAATGATCCTGTGTCCCCTTGAGGAACTAACTTCAAATTTGGAATAAAGAGAGAAAAAGTAGTTAAAATATGCAAGTCCGAACTTGAGTTGAGGAAAGAGAAAAGAGTACAAGTCAGAAAAATGAAAGACAAACAATGCTGAATCAGATTAAATGCAGTCAATAAAACCATCCCCTTCAAATACGTACGACAATGCTATCCATAAAGAGTGATTAAAAATATTAGGGTGAAGTAAAAGCTAATTAAGATAGCTAATTAAATAATTAGGATAACCTGGTTTTTATTTTTGGTTTTCTTCCTGATTCTGGTTCTTTCTTTCTCTTTCTCCTTATGATTTCTCTTCTCTCTTCTCTTCTCTTCTCTTCTCTTCTCTTCTCTTCTCTTCTCTTCTCTTCTCTTCTCTTCTCTTCTCTTCTCTTCTCTTCTCT